ATATACACACATATACACACACATACACATACATACATATAAATACACACAGAGATATACACATATGTACATATATACAAAAAGTTATTATATATATATATATATATATATATATATATATATATATATATATATATATATATATATACAGAAACCACATCACCTGATGATTTTCAACCATAGAAACATCTAAAAAGTATATCACATGTAACTCAAAGAGAAAACAATGTTATAATCATGAAGTGAATGCTGTACAGTCATTCGAACATAAAGTTAAGAAGGAATCCACCATCAATACTGTAAAGAGAAATAACAGTTAGTAGGAATAAATCCTCCATTTGTACTGGAAAGAGTGATAACAATTACTGGACTTGAGAAACATGTCTCACTGAAAAATTGTTTTAAGAAAAAGATATTTATGAATTTCTAACAAAATTATTACTGGTAAATGAATAGAAAATGTTTCCTTATAAGACAGCTAATAGAACGATATCCGCTACCATTCATAGAACAATCACCACAATACCACAGGTTCTCTCTGAAGTCCTAACAAGTCCTACATGCACACAATTTTACAGCATATGTAGAAGGATAGGAAGAATATTTTAAAAATTAACCCCAGTATCTATCGACAATGAATGAAAAACAAATGAAAATCATTATATGTGTTAGCTGGCAGTTCTAATCGTAGCAGAAATACAAGTTAACAAGACGAAAAAGATGAAAGACCGGACAATAATTGAAAAAGCTCAGTCTGATAAACACTCGTACCCCTTTTTGTACACATCTAAATACGAAAATACCACTAAATAGTAAATTTCATCCTCACTGGGTGGCCTATCCTTTAGGCATTTTGCCACATCTAAGCTTAGCTTACAAAGTCATCACCTAAACAAAAGTATAAATATAATGTAAAATTTGTAAATTATTTTAAATTTTATTTGTAAATTATTTTATGCGTATATTACTTAGGTTATTATATCCTTCAATACTGTAAAGAGAAATAACAGTTATTGGACATGAGAAACCTATTTTCTTGAAAAAATGTTTCAAGAGAAAGATTTTATAGATTTCAACCAAAAGTAGTTCTGTCTGCGTGGTCAGTAAATACCAAATGTTTCCTCATAAGGAAATGGGTAATATTACCGTTTGGTCAAAATCAGTTTTCATGTGAAAATTTTAATTATCGTAATAAAGTCTGACACAATGTAGTTATTCTAGCGTGGATCAATTTATTACTTAATAAAAAAGTAGAAAGTAATCCTCCATTAATAATGGAAAGAGTGATAACAGTTACTGGACTTGAGAAACATATCTTCCTGAAAAATTGTTTTAAGAGAAAGATTTTATAAATTTCAACCAAAAGTAGTTCTGGCTGCCTGGTCAATGAATACCAAATATTTCCTTACAATATATGGCTGACGTTACGATATCCGCTACCATTCATAGAACAATCACCACAATACCACAGGTTCTCTCTGAAGTCCTAACAAGTCCGATATGCACACAATTTATAAAGCATGCAGAAGGATAGGAAGAATATTTTAGAAATTAACCCCAGTATATATTGACAATGAATGAAAAATAAATGAAAAACAGTATTTGTATTAGAAACGGCCGACATTTCTAATCGTGTCAGAAGTATAATTTAACAAGACAAAAAAGATGCAAGATTGGACGATAATTGAAGCACTCTGATAAGCACTCACACAAACTATGTACATGTCTAAACACGAAAGTAACACTAAATAATGAAGTTCGATCCTCACCGGGTGCCTTATACTATCGACCTTGTGCCAATCTTAGAAAAATCATTATTTAAGCACCAAATTATGAATATGAATTAAAATATGTAACTTATTATACGCGTATATTACTTAGTCTAGTGTCCTCACCTTCGTTGTCACAACGTTTCGACTGTTGTAGATACGGACATCTTCAGATATCTGCTGTAGTAAGTAGCATTACGGAAAGGTTGAACCGAATAAATTAAGGTATAATTCCTGGATTTAACAGTTAACACAATAATTGTAATTTATTGCTGACTTCTTTTTTTTTCTATATTTTCTGCGATCGTTCATTCAGAAAATAACCTGCTCGGCTAGCTTGCTTGTTTTCATTCCTCACTTGAAAGAAACCATCTTCATCTGAAGCGTTTTATTGAATCTTCCACGCGGCGCTAACATGTGACACAATAAAATCAAGTCCCCATAAAAAAACGATTTTTTACTCCTATTCATTAGCAACTCTTAATATATGACGTATAAATTAAACGCCCAACTGCGTTCTCTGTGGAAGGAATGGTTCGTTGCAACACATCCTAAATCGCTGCCTAAAGGCTTTACGGGAGGAACGGTATCGTTGTCTCCATGATCAGGTCCTTAGAGCCGTAGCGAATGCAGTGACAACAGCCATCAGGTCGTGGAAATTTAAATCGGGGTGTAAAGAGTCATTAATACAATTTATTAAGGCCGAAGGAAATAAATCAAAAGCAAGAGAAATACCCCAAGTCTGCTTTCAACAGCACCCGATTAGGAGGTGATCACGGACCCGAAATGAACTGAAATGGGTAGGTTACATAGTGTTATACTGGAACATACCTATTCTATTGTTAATAAACTCTCCCACCTATAATAAGTAGGAGTAGTAGCAGTCGCCAGGGTGTTCAATGAGTTGGTCTGAGTTCAGTCTGAA